TGACTATTAGATTCATGCTGCACTTTAAAAAAAAAATCTCTGTGCTCACCAAAGTACTATGTTCAGACCTAAATATCAGCAGTAGGATGAAAGAACAGGAACATACTATACGTACCTCAGGCGCTATTGTGAAGAACAAATAAACTAAAACACATAAAACCCTAAGGGTGGTTCCTGGCCCATAGAGAAGTACTCAGCTGATGTCAGCTACATTCTCCTTGTATCCATGGTAAAGAGTATCTTAACATTCATTTTAAATTGTGCACAAGAACTACCAGGCATAAACAATGGATTATTTTGATTTATTGATGTGGATTGGAAATTTGTTCTAAACCTACTGACTCACCTACCTATCTCCCTACCAATTAGTGTAAATTTTATTTGTGTTTTGGAGGGAACACTTAGGATCTATGTAAAACTTAAATATCATGCTTCAACAGCATTGCAAATCAAGTATCTAATGTGTTAACTATACAGACTGAGCAAATATTTCCTCAGAATTCAAAACGTTTGAATAGACATATCTGATTATTGAATTCTGTACCCCAAAAGAAAAGCACTACTTGAATACCACCTGGAATACTTAATAAGACCACTGACTTCTATTTTGCTTTTGTAGCATGCCTTAAAAGCAATTACTATTCCATTACTGTTCACACAAGAGAAAATTTACCAGCTTGTAATTTAGAGGCAGGTGGAGTAGACAGAAGAAAGTGGAGTTACCCACTATAGTTTCCAAGAAGCAGGGGACAACAGTCTAAATGTTTAAAAGACACGCGTTCACTGCACCAAACAATCCAGGCATGTCCTCATGTCTATTCATGAGAAAGGATAATCAGTGAAAAGTAGGTTGGAGGACAGAATGATGGAAAAAGGCAACAGGAAGGGGCAGAAGAGAGAATGTTTTTTAAACCCAAATTGTTACTTCTGGTCCATTAAAATAGCAAAATCCAAACGAAAACTGGTCTTCACAGAAAACTCAAAAATTAGCCCTAACTCAAGTACTATACACCGGGGAGAATAAAGAAAATCTTTAGATTCAACACTAAGAAAACTGGTTGTAGTTTTATACACACAGTTTTAGAAAATTCTCACATTTTATCAGCCCTACAACATGATTAATATGGTTTTAGATGGGGAGAAATAAAAAGGGCACATTTCAGGTAAATAGTCATTTATGCTACATCTAAGAGATTCTTTTAGGTTTCTTCCCTTTGAAAAGATAATTACCCTACACCAAGTAACGATATCCAAAGTAAAAGTAAAGGTAGATCTCTGGTCTCCTTTCAGGAAACAGAGGCAGAATTTCCTATGGGGGCGGGGGGGCAAATACCGTGAATTTGAATATCCTTTGGATTGTGGCTCCAATAAGCTGCATATAAAGACGGGAGCACACCGATGCTTCAGAAGAGGAAGAAAAAATTAAACCTCAATTCATCCACCTGCCCAGCATACAAATAGCTTAACTGCACCCAACAGAAAAATCAAAACAAAGGGCCTCTTGAGTTCACTGCTCGCCAGAAATGCATCTTCAAGATGCCTGCTCATTAACTGAGTCCTTTCAGGCACCCCCACCCCTTAAATGTCTCACAGTTGGCCTGTCTTCCCAGTCTTTCCTCATTAAATTTAAAAGTTAAAATTTTTAAAGTTTTTCTTCTTGCTCAGAAAGTACTGTTTTTTAACCTTTCGATTCAATTGATTTCCAAAGGTGAAAGCAACTTCACCTGAAAAGCATCAACTTTAAACTCAGGAAACACAGGAAGGTTTTCTAGTAAACAACAGAAATCTGGTCAATAGTGTTATTAAAAATACGACTAGAGAGAGTGTCACATTTATCTGCAGTTGTGGCTTGTATTAAAGCAGCTTAAATCCTTCACAAATAAGCTTTTCTGGGGGGTTAAACAGATACGGTGCTGAGGCAGGCAGGATTACCTGTGATCTAGAGTGTAAAGCCCAATCCATGCCACAGGAAGAGGAGGAGATGCTGCTGGGACACTACAAACCTGAAAACCCCTTTCCATTGTCTCCAATGGACAGGCCAGTTTCTGGGGCTACCTCTCCCACTGAGCTTCATTTGCGAGTGGATTTGGCTGTTAATGTAGCATTGTTTAGCACAAATATTTCTTTCCTGGCAGCACAGCTCAGTCGAGACAGGAGGCTGAAAATCAGTTAGCTGTATGTAAGAAGAAAGCAGCTCTCCAGTTACCAGGGAGGAATAATTGAACACAGATTGCCTGTTGCGCCTTTAATTCAATTTGGAGACCTTTCATCTTTTTCATTTCCTTCATTTGCAGCCAATGCTTAGTGAGCTAATTTGTACCTGGTTCATTTTCCTCCTTTTATCTTATCTACATTAACATCAACCATGGAAATTAGAAGCACTATGAATAAAAGATGAAGCCTGACTTGGGACATTCTCTCCTTAAGTACCATGAATTACTTAAAAACTAATCTGTGTGTATGCACAATATGGAAGGACTAAGATCTCTATGTCTCACCTCTACAGTATCCTTTATCAGCATCTTCCCTCTCCCCAAGGGGCTGCAGTTTTCAGATGTTTTATCTAGTCTTACCTATTCTCAGAGTGTAATGTCTAGACTATAATCCAGATGGAATCTGTAACTGGTATAAGGTAGCCCATCCCATTACTGCACAAAACCAAGGATCCACAGATCCCACTAACTTGACTTTTTAGAGAGTTCAATACTGCTTGCCTTACAAGGAAAAGAATGTGTTGCAAAAAGGAAAACTGAATGTATCAACAGATATGTATGGTGAGCAGATGCCCACTGTCCAAAAACACTGTGTGGGGGAGGATGAGAGATGGTGGAGAAAGGGACTAATCTTGAAATTACTGCCTGGGAGTGGCCTCTGGAAGCTACAGAATTTAAATTCCAAGTGTATCATGGGTATGACGTTTTTCAAACAGTCCTTCTGTTGAATATGTTGTACCACTTGGCAACCTCTCTGTTAGAGTTACACATGCTCTTAAAATAAGATTTTTTTCTTACTTCCCACTGTACAAAATTTTAGTGTCTTGTAAGTTTTGCATGTTTTTCCCTTTATAATTTCCTCTGGGCCAATACTATTTTTTTCTCCTCATCCTCTCCTCCTATAAAGTTGGGTTTTAAATTTTGTCTCCTTTCTCTCTTTTTCCAATGAAAAAAAATCTACTGGATTTTTCTTTTGCTGCTTAGTATCCCCCACCAATAAGCTATCCTTTCAGTTTGGGAAGCATCAAAGACTGTGCTCAATTGTTTCACTCTGCTTCTAATGCCAGCTCTTCTACTCCTATAACCAACCCTTCATACCAATGGGCTAGATGGAAACTGGAGATAAACCGAAAAATTACTCCCTTTTCACAGTCCAACCCCCTAAAAAGTTGATGTGTGTTACGTGTACAAGACCACATGTTTTTACAGGTAAGGCAACTTCCAAATTGTAGGGGGGGAAAAAAGACTTTGCAGTTTAAAATTATCGTGTACTGAAATGTAAAAGTATGCTCCGGAATACAAACCACTGTATCTTCTGGGGAAAGGGTATGTAAGTAGGATCAAAATTAAAGCCCAACTTAAGAAAAAAAAAAATCAGATTATATCTCTAATCTTGGTTATAATAAAGACTACCCCTTACAATGTCAAGCTTATCTATTTCTTTTGAAGGAACAAGGAAAGCAAGCCCTACATTGAAAAAAAAAAAAAAAAAGACAAGAAGCAATTACTGGTCCTTTTATTCTTGAAGGAGAGGATGATTAGAAACGAAGGTGGCAACAGTCCTTAAAAAATAGGTTCTTAGTAGCCACCTAGGCAGAAAAATTAAACCAAAAGGGTACAAAGTCCCTCTGTCTCCAGGTGAAGAAAGCCAAATAGAGATTAGGATAAAGTTGTGGGGCATTTATGTTTACCAAATACACAGATTGTCCCGCTTACTTGGTGGAGTGGAGGGTGTGATGGAGTCTCAGGAGCAGGAGGCCAAGGAATTGGGGATAGTGGAAAGGAAGAGTCCCACGAAGGGTCAAAGAATCCAAGGTTTTGGGTTTTTCCCCCACATACCTTTGTGTATACGGAAGAAAAGTGAACACCATGCAATAGGGACTCCCAGAACACACGCAGATTGCAAAACACCAGCCTCAAGAAGAACACCCGTCCTAACGCCCAGCTGGCTCTGTGCATGAGTGGCCTTCCAAGGGAAGAGAGCCATTTTAGCGACAGGGGACGGCGCCGCACCCAGGGCCTCCCAGTGAGTACCAGGAAGCAATGGGGAGGTGCAAGAGTGGCCTGGCGAACTCGCCAGAGAGGGGCCTTGGAGAAAGGTTGGGGGGGGGGGGGGGGAGAATGAGGCTGTTGGCCTGATAATTCGGGAAAGAATCACAGGGCCTCAGAGTTTCAACTCCTTTCCCATAGGTTTTCCTTGAAAAAACAGGCAAACTTGAGAATCAGAAAGGACTTTTGTGGGGTGCAAGAAGAGAGAGAAGTTGGACCCACATACACACCCAGGAGAAGTCCCTGTTTTCACTAACAAGTGCCAGTGGACTGTAGAGAGAAGTTTGTCTCTGGGCTGGTTTTCGGCCACCATCTCCACCTTCTTCGCTGTACGGCTCTTGATTCGGGGGTGCACCAAGTCCGCGGGGCCTCTGAGCTGGGTCCCCCGCGGCCTCCGCGGCCCGCGCCTCCCCCGCCCACTCGCCCCGCCCTCCCCGCTCCATCCCGAGCCCCCAGCGCCTCGGGCCTGCACTTCCCCCGCTTCACCTGGGCCGCTCCGTCGGCTCCATCTCAGGCCCCGGCGGACTGCGGAGCCCCGGCCCCACTGCCTCCCCTCGTCCACTGCGCACCCCCGCAGGGCCAGCGTTCGCGCGCCAAAGCCCCTGGAGGCTGCAGGCTGCCCGCGCGCAGCTCCACCCGCATCCCGATCGCGGGCACCGACGAGGGGGAACGCCCGAGGGCAGCGCAGCCCGGCCGGCCCTTTCCCACCCCGACCCCCAGGGGCGGGCCGGGCGCTACCTCCTGGAACAGCTCCAGGCTGTAGGTGTTGTCGTCGTCGGCGAAGAAGAGCACCCCGGGCTGCGCGCGCTGGTGCTGGTGCTGGTGCCTCTGGCGCAGCCAGGCGAGCCCGGCGTTGCGCTGCTCGGTGGCGCGCGGCAGCCCGGGCCTCTTGTAGCGCCGCGGTGTGGGCACGTGCAGGTGCGTGCTGGGCAGCCCGGCCCGCGCCAGGAAGCGGCTCACCAGCTCGCTGCGCGCCGCCGCGTCCTCCACCAGGATCCAGTGCAGCTGCGCCACCTGGCGGAAGGTGTTGGCCAGGCGGGTCAGCTCGGCTTTCTGCACCGGGCGGCTGTAGGTGGGCGTGATGGCATAGATGGTGGGCAGCGGCGGCTCCGGCCGCGGCCGTGCGTGTGGCCGCGACTCGTTGCGCTTCTCCCAGCCGCGCCCGGGCCCGCTGTCGGGGCCGCCCCTGCGCAGCGGGAGTCGGGCGCCCCCGCGGCCCACCACGTAGGGAGAAAAGTAAGGGCGCGGGGTGAGCGGGGGCGCTGGCCTGCGCGTGTCCACGTCGAGCATGATGATGACGATTAGGATCCAGGGCAGGAGGATGAAGAAGCGGCTGAACAGCACGGACTTCATGGCGCGCCCTTCCCTTCCGCGGCCTCTCGGACGCCCCTAAGAGGGGCGAGATGGAGGACCCCGGCGCTCAGTTCGGACGGCGGCGGCGCCCGCGCTCAGGAAGCCGCGGCGGGCGCGCTCTCCATGGGGTCGGGGGGCGCTGCGGGGGCCGGCGGCCGCGGGGCTCAGCCCGTGCCGAGGAGTAGGGCTACGGGGGTGCTGCGCCGGCCCCCAGTCGCGGAGAGCCGGCGGGAAGGGGACTGCGTCCAGCCGCGGGCTCCGGAGTTGTGCCGAGCGCCCGGCAAGCGGCGGCCCCAGCCGCTCTTGGAGAGTGGGCGCTGGGAGCCGGCCCGGGGCTCCTCGCTCCTCGCTCCTCCCGTCCCGCGGCGCTGCGGGCGAAGGGGCTCCAGCCGGGGCTCCCAGCCCGCTCCCTGGGGGCACCTTCGAGGGCGGGCGGGCGGCAGCGTGAGGGCCTTCCTTCGTCACACCCCGGCCGGGTTGGCGAGGACCGACAGGGGGGCGCGGGAGGTGCGCCCCGGCTCTGCGAGCGCGCCGCAGCGGAAGCCTGCACGCCCGTCCTGCTCTCTGCTCTTCTCGGAACCTCTCCCGGCTCGGCAGCAAGATCCCAGAGCAAGGAAAGAAAGAAAAAGCGGAGGGGGCGGGGGGGCGGGGGGCTGCAGACTCCAGCGTCCTCCCAGTCCTCCTGTGGGAAGACAGCAGCGCTGCTACTGGCGGAGAGGGGCTGCGAGGGGGAGGTCGCGAGGGGGGCCCCGGCTCTCCGCGGGGTGTGCCGCTGACGGCCCCGAGAGCCAGCTCCGGAGGCGGCTGCTGCACCGGGGGGGGGGGGGGGGGGGGAGGGTCCCCGCGGGGCCGCACGACCTGCGCGAAGAGCTGGATGGATGCGCGTTCGCCGCTCTCCGCGCGCCCTGAGCTTTCTGAAATACTGCAAGGTCTTGAGGGATCAGCTAGGAAACCCCATTCACGTGCGGGAAAACTCGGGAGACCTAGGGTGGGGAGGGTAAAGGATCTCTTCCCTGGCCCCCACCGGCAGGGCTGGTGTGCCGGGGTGTGCACCCAACGGCGGCAGCCGAAAGCTGGACTAGCAGAAAGGCAGAAATCTATGGAAGCCCTGGGAGACGGGGAGGTGCCACACAGAGGTGTTTGGCACGTGAGATGGTCCATCCCAAAGAATCCATCCAAACGGTTGCTTTGCTGCCTGCCAGCAGGGAGATCACGGGGGGCGCGGGGGGGGGGAATTCCTAAAACTCCAGCTGAGTATTTTTAACTTATTTTTCCTTCAGTAATTCGGACTCCCATTTCCCCTATAGTTCGCTGTCGTAAGAATTATTCAGTTTGATCCTCCCGACGATCCTCTTAGAGAGGCCTGAAAAGTAGAATCACCTTCATTTTATGGATGAGGAAACGGAGACTCGGTTTAATTTCCCCGAGGTCAGAGGCAAGTGGCCAACTGGGAATGGAGCGTGGGTCCCCGGAGTCCAGCCCGTGGCTTCCTCGCTGCGCGGCCTCAAGAAATCGCTCTGGACGCAGCCCGACCGGGAGGGGTTGGCTCTCCTACTTGAAAACATTGTGCAGTCAAAATCTAACAGAGCCTATGAAGACGTAATGGAACCATGACAGTGCCTGGAAGACAAGGAGTAAACAATTGGTGCTCAGTTAGGACCTTTTCTATTGGGCGGACCTACTGGCCAAGTCCCTGGTGTCTATAATGCACGGGAAAGAAAGAAGAGGGGCCACGCTTCATAGTCACGTCGCAGGGAGGTGCTTGCAAAAAGAGCAGGAAGGCCTTGCCCCTCGCCAGCCCATGATAAGTAATTTCTGAGCTCATCTTCTCTCGATTGTTTGTCTTCCTCGGTCTTGTTCACAAATGAATCCCTCCGTGCATTTTGTATGAGGGCGCGCTGGACAGCTCTAGAGAGGCTACTGCACCCCACCCCCTCCAGCCTTTTTGAGAGTCCAGCCTCATAGCCCCACCTTTGCTGCTCCTGCTCTCATCCGGGACTGGAACGCTTGTGGATTTCCCTAACTTCCGGCTCAGAGTCTGAAACCCGAGGGTGAAATTTATGGAGTCAACACGCACTCCCTCCTCCACCGCCCCCCACCGCAAGGGCCAGCCTTCTGTCTGGACCTCCCTGTATCAGCCACAACTCCTACTATAAACGTGGCAGGTTAGCGGCACCCTAACATAGGAAACAATCCATTAGACGCCTTCCCTTATTCTCCGCTAACCTAATGGTCCTCTGAATATAACGCAGCCTCCGGAAAATGTGTCATGATCAGACCTGGGGGTGGACTGCCTGAAACCGATGTCAGTATTTTGGGGGCGGGTAGGTGGGGGAGAGAGCCTAGTAAAAACTTCTCTTAAATACTAGAAAGCAGCACTCACACCTGACAACCCTTGCAAAGATACTGAAGTCTTGCTCTTCCTGCTGGAATTTTTAATGTAGTTGAAGAGAAATGCCTTGTGTATGAGCTGGAGTGAAGCTCAAGCAGTTACTGAATTGTATTATAAATTTCACTAATCTTTGTTAGCTGGGAATTCTTGGTTATTCTTACTATTCCATAAAAACCCATTCCTCATTGCTTCTCCAGCAACCAGGGCCATTCACAGATGAGACACGTTCAAAATCAATCAAATACTGGAACTGGAAATTTTAACTGGTGCTCAGAATTCACAGGTGTCATACAACACAATGCTTAACTAGCAGGGTCACATCAAGGAGGTCATGTCATGTTCTCTATTATCTTTCGTCAGCATTTGCATCCAGGTGTACCTCATTCAATCATCTGTTGGGGGCATCATGGTTCAAGGAGTCAGCCAGATCTTGGTTTGATTTCCAGCTGGGCCACTTGAGCAACTTTTACAGTCAGTGAGTCTTTCAGTTTCCTCACCTGGAAAAGGGAGTTACATACTCCATGGAAATCTTGTAAGGATTAAATAGGGTAAGTTAGGTAAAGTATTTTGCAGAGGAGCTGTTATTATGCAGACAATGAATGGTATTTAAATGCAAGTAACACTTGTTCAAAAGAAGATCTTAACCTGGGAGATCTCGCAGAATCATCATCACACAGGAAAAAAATGAGATCCATTCTAAAGGAACTGACAATGTCTTTAAATAGGGCCCCCTCCTGTCTGAAAGGTGTTGGTATGCTTGGTAGTCTTCTCCCAGCTGGGGTGAGGTGGGAGGAATAAAGAAATATTTACCAAATACAAGGTGCAGCTTATCATGCAATAAGGATAACACGATTACAAGTGACAGTGATTTCAAGTGACTGAATATGCCATATTGTTTTACATTCATTGATTCAAAAATGTTTACCCACATCTTTCATAGTCAAATCTGAGTCAAGATAAAGACGCAAAATTATTAAGAATGTCCATTTGAAGCATAAAACCAGGGCAATACACTTTTAAGCGCAAAAATTTATCATGCTTTTAAAATATGTAGAGAGTTTATCAGGTAGTAGAATGGAAACAACTCCTTTTAGTGGAACCTTGAAGAAAATGCCATTTTTATGAAGCATAATCACTGGGTAGCTGTAGTACTTTTTCATATAGTCTATGATATTTTTACATAAAACAATTTAAACCTGATCTGTGGCCGATAATGAAGGTTGGTAGAAGTCACTAGAGTAATTAAAATAATTACCTAACTTCTGAGCTTCTGTACATCCTCTCAGTGTTTATTTTCATTTAATCTCTCTAATTATTTGTGTAACAAAGTGAGCATTGCTTCATCTGTACTAATGAAGCCTTAGATTGCTGGCATCAGCCACAGCATTTCATCAGCATTCAGTTGTTGTTCTCAGATAAACAAAGGTAAAAACAAAAAACAAAAAAACAAAACCATCTGGAGACTTAACAAAAACATATCATATAATCACTAAACATTTACATTTTGCCTTGATGAGTAATATGCAACTGTGACTTCTGTAGCAAAAAGATTGCAGTCCGATTAGTGCACTGCATACAACTGATCCCATTTGACATTTGAGCCTGGGGTTCTGCTAGTGTGACTAAATCAACCTTCAAATGAGCATCTGGGGACATCCTAAATATTCTTAGTCAAGTAAGAAAGAGATCAAGGAAAAAAAATCTATACGCAATTGTTTGTAAATAGCTATATCGTGACATGGGCATGCAGATCGAGTAAAGAGAATCAGAACTAATTCATATGCAAGTAATAATGTATTGTGAATGTATTGATAATCAATACCCACATTTAGGTGAACATAACTTTCTGTTAAAATATCAGTTACGTGAAAGAGCAACATCCAAAATAAATAATTCTAATAGCCCCAAAGTCCAGAGATACATGACAGTTTCATTGATAACTGTCAGAAAAATGACATCCAAACCACAAATTAAATGGCTCATTTGGTTTATTTTCTTGCATCTGGATCCTCTACAAATACCACAATTGGTTGAGAATTGTTCTAAATTATAATGCTTCCTTAAAATTTTAGACACTTGCAGCTATTATGTACAAAATGTGATGTGAGAAGTAATTTGTTGAGTAAAATCCCATTTTCATTTGACAGGTTGGGATCAAGGTTATTCAGTAAAAGTGGTTTTCTAGAAAAGTAGAAATTGGCAATTCAGCCTAACAATTTCATTGAAAAATAATTCCATTCAGTTTGAATAATAGCTGAAGATAAAACATGCCCATGCTCCTCCTTTTCCCTTTATTAATGAATTAGGGTACACAAAAACCCAATAAAGCATAGATAAGGATATACTAGCACCCTTTATATCTTTTCCCTCACTATCTTAAAAATTGGCATTTACATTAAAATGATTATTTGTTAGCAATAGAATTTTACTGTAAAACTACACAACCTACCTTTCACGGTTGTTACAAGAATCAAAGGAGATAATGTAGATTAAAGTATTTTAAACACTATAGTTAATACATGTACAACAGAAGTGATTGGGCATGAGCTGATAATTGAAGCTACGAGATTACACACGGGGTTCCTTATATTACTGGGCCAATTTTTAC